TTCCTTAACTGCTTTTGTCTGATTTAGAGAGAGGTTTGTATTTCCTATTTTTCCTTTTTTCCCCCTATTTCTTTCAAGAATTTGTGTATGATTTGAATTAATCTGCTTGTGAAATTTTGGTAGTACTCAGCTAAAAACAAGAACTCGTGGTTTCCTTGTTGCTAGATATTTATCTAATTTTTTCAAGGTGTTTAAAATGATCTGAACTCCTATTTCTTTTTAAACTGGACTTCTTTCAGTTTTCTTAAATTATATTTTTCTAGGAGTATATTCATAGTTACCTGTTTTTCAGGTTAAAATTAGCATAAAATTATTCATTTTGCTTTAAATCCCTGCTAGCTTTTTTTCATTATGAATATGTTAATTGGGCTATATCTATTTCATTTTTTCTTGACCAACCTGCCAGACAGTGTATGTTTTATTATTATTTTCAAAGAAAAATACTTTTGACTCTATGACTGTCTTTAATTTTGTATTTTCTTTTTATCTGTTAATAGATCTTTCCTTCTACTTACTGTATGTTTATTCTGCAGTTGCTTTTTAACTTCTTAGACTAGAGACAGCTCAATGATTTTCAGATTTCTTTTTAAGTAAATGCGTTTAAGATTACAAATTTCTCTGTAGCTACCAGGCTCCTCTGTCCATGGGATTTCCCAGGCAAGAACACTGGGATGGGTTGCCATTTCCTTCTCCAGGTGATCTTCCCCACCCAGGAATTGAACCAAGGTCTCCTGCATTGCAGGTGGATTCTTTACCAACTGACTCCTGCATAGATGGGCAGTGAAATGGTAGCAATACGTGTTAGTGTAAAGAAATATTTGTTGGTCAGTTTGGATTAGATGACTGGTCCAGATTTAATCTGTATGTAACATGGGGGCTTCCTTCGTCCATTATAGAGAAAGGACATAACAGCGTTAACATTAGTTATCAACATGATGTTCTAGATTTTCTTATCCTATAATTTCATTTTGCCCTTACTTTCTAATGCATTTATAAAGAAACTCACATCATCTTCTCTCAAAAAAAAAAAAAAAAGGCCAGGCAGGAGTGTATTTGTTTGAAAAGAAACCTGTCTGTCCCACATTTTTCTCAATGACTTGAAATTCTGGGACATACGAGTGTTTCATTGTCAAAAGTGTGTATTAGGAGGCCAGTGCCATGCCAGACCATATGGGGCAAGATCTCCATGCCCTCTTCTCCTGCACACATCCCTGCCAGGCAGTAGCCATGAGTCTGGATGTGGAATTGCAGAGTGTTCGGCTTAACGGAAGTCGTGTTGCTAACATCGCACAGGGATTTCCAGACTTATTTTGCGGAGGTAGTTGAGTGATCCATTCTTCGAAGCAGTCTTCTGGAAGCCTGATGTCTTCAAAATAAATAGGCTTAGATTGGAATAAACTTGGGGCACTGGTGGCCCATACCAGCTAAGATCTCCCCACTCTTGACCCCTGGGAGAGAACAGGGGATGTGCATGAACCCCAAGGCTAAAGGCCGTTCCTTTGAACCCCTAATTCAGTAGAGGAGAATCTGGTGACCTCAGAGGGTCCCCAGGATGCTGGTGGCTGGACCAGAGTTTAGGTTTTGCAGTCTTTTCTAGGCTCTTCTGCCACTAGTAGTTCATCTCCACAAACAGGAGAGCTGCTTCTTCAGGCAAAACCAGGTAGAAAGCAATTTCCACATTTCCACTTTCATCATTTTCTTCATATTCAGATCATGCCTAGTTGTGTTGCTAGGGTGACCCCAGTGCACCAGCTAGACTTGCTGTGTCCTGGGTCTTCTTAAACCCCAGCCCTGAGGCTGCTGCCTGCTTCTTTGGGGGTCTCTCCCAGACTATAGTAATAGGGTGTGCTGTGTACTAAGTCACTGAAGTTGTGTCTGACTGTTTGAGACCCCATTGACTGTAGCCCACCAGGCTCCTCTGTCCATGGGATTCTCCAGGCAAGAATACTGGAGTGGGTTGCCAGTTCCTCCTCCAGGGGATCTCCCCGACCCAGGGATTGAACCCACGTCTCTTAGGTCTCCTGCTTTGACAGGTGGCTTCTTTACTGCTAGCGCCGCCTGGGAAGCCCCTGGTAACAGGGATGTGGTGACAAAAAGCCTCATTTCATTGTCTTGTCTTTGCTTCAGGCCCTTTGCTGGCCTTCTTGCTGCTCATGGAAGGATCGGTTCCTTCAAACAGACAGACCACATGCTATTTCTGTGCTGTAAATTTCCAAGGCTTCTTCCCCAGCCACCTCTCCAACCACAAACTGGAATAAAAAGTGTATTTGCAGCTATAATCAGCACACTTAAATACTAGTTAAATTCAGAATGAGTACAGAATCTGCACTGCTCTTGACTCCGAGAGAGGCTATAAAAATATCCCATGGCCATGAGCCCTCTAAGACATTGACAAAGAGGTGATCCCTCTGAACCTTCTTAAGGCTGTTCCAAAATAGCCCAGATTACATGGTAAGGGGGTCTGATTCATAGAGAATTGTGTATTGGCTGTGGACTAGCAAACTCCTCTCTTGTTTCTATTTTCCTCGGACAAGATGCCCAGTCACGGTCATTTATTTTCTTATAAACTCTTTGAGGATGGCGCTTTCTTTAATTGCCTTGGTAGCTTTGGTGTCTGGCATGTGGGTATACCTGAAATAGTTGTGAAGTGGCCGAACTAGAGAGTCAGAGGTGCCGAGAGCAGAAGGGGCCGTCGGCTCCCTGTCTTCAGGCTCCTGTATGGACACTTCTGATGCTTTCCTGTTTCATTTATGCCATCACCATGACCACCCCGTGAGAAGCAGGGCATTTGTTATTAACCTCAAATTATAGATGATGGTGCTGAGGCTTCCAAGGGGTTGTGGAATTGTCTAAGAGTTTGTGAATTTAAGGTGCAATCACATCTTAAGTCTGGGTCTCTTGAACCTTAGAGAAGTATTCTTTCTGTTTCACTACTGGTATGTATTCAGAGATACTCTGTTTTAATCTGCTGGCACGTGGGCTCACTGAGTAGCCTCAGCACCGCGTTCTGGAAGGCCTGCTGGTTTAAGGTCCATGCCCTCACAGCTGATAGTCTTTCACTGCGGACATGCACTACGGAAAACACATCCAAATTGTTAGTGGTCTTCAGCAACGTTCTCACTGGTTTCTCTGTCCCTAGCTATCTTAGCAGAGCTCTCACTAGTTTCTCTAACCTAACTGGATCTCTGCAATGGAGTGATTGTCCTAAAGTGATAAACACGCTCTGATCAAAGCTCCATCACTGGAGCTTCAAGGACCAAGTTCTGAGTCTTTATCTGAACCTGCAAGGCCAGCTTCCGGCCTCCCTGCAGCCCAGTGCACTCTGAGGTCCCTGCACACGCCTGACTGGTGTCCGAGGAGTGAGTTCTCCATGGTTGCTCCCTTCCCTCGGTCAGGTGTTTGCAGGAAGCTGGTCCTAAGATCCAGGTCCGTGGAGAGGCCCCCTCCCCATCCCCGCACTGGCCCCTTCGGAGACCGCATCCCTTCTCCCCATGGTTACCAGGGTTTACCCAGCTGAGTGGATGGTGAGCTCGGCAGAGAGGTCCGTGGGTCTCCTGGGCTCTGACATCCCCTGGAAGGTCGTGCTCTTAGTGAATGAAGGAGCTGCATTTACAAAAATTACTTTTTAAATTTCCTGACATGTGCGCATGCTCTGTGGGTGTTTGGAGGATGTGATGGTCGGGAAGGAGCTGGCCTTCAATGGGGTCCTTCAGAGGGACCGGGCTCAACCTGATGTCCAGCTTGGCCTTGGTCCTGAGCTCCCGGTGTCTGATGTACGGAGAGCACTGTGACCTCTGCTGGGGAGGGTCCCCCCGCCCCCTGGGGGAGGGGGGTCTCTGTGCGCTCCCAGGTAGCTCTGCATGGCGCTGGCTCTCAGCGTGTTTATGGGATCGAGCAGCAGTGTAACTCCTCTTAATGCTTAGACTTTTTTAACCTTTTTCAGTTCTGGGCCTCCATAGATCCCAGAGAACACTTAGAGGGGTGCTCAGAGAGCTGACTCTGTAAACGCTTTCCTTGAAAGCAGAGTCCCTTCCTCCACCCTTCCCACTCTTTGAGCTGTGGTGCCCTGTGTCACCCTGTGTCACCTTGCAGGCACCCCAGGTGTCACCCCATGTATCACCCCATAGGCACCCCGTGTGTCACCCCTTGAGTCACCCCAGGTGTCACCCTGTAGGTACCCTGTGTGTCACCCTGTAGGCACCCCAGGTGTCACCCCATGTGTCACCCTTTAGGCCCAAGGTGTCACCCCATGTCTCACCCTGTAGGCACCCCGGGTGTCATCCCATGTGTCACCCTGTAAGCACCCCGTGTGTCACCCTGTGTATTCCCTTGTAGGCAATGTGTGTTACCCCATCTGTCACCCCAGGTGTCACCCCATGTGTCACCCTGTAGGTACCCCATGTGTCACCCTGTAGGCACCCCATGTGTCACCCTGTAGGCCCCAGGTGTCACCCCATGTGTCACCCTGTGCACCCCATGTGTCACCCTGTAGGTACCCCATGTGTCACCCTGTAGGCCCCAGGTGTCACCCCATGTGTCACCCTGTAGGCATCCCATGTGTCACCCCATAGGTACCCCGTGTGTCACCCTATAGGTACCCCATGTGTCACCCTGTAGCTACCCCATGTGTCACCCTATAGGTACCCATGTGTCACCCTGTAGGTACCCCGTGTGTCACCCTGTAGGTACACCATGTGTCACCCTGTAGGCATCCCATGTGTCACCCCATAGGTACCCCGTGTGTCACCCTATAGGTACCCATGTGTCACCCTGTAGGTACCCCGTGTGTCACCCTGTAGGTACCCCATGTGTCACCCTGTAGGCACCCCATGTGGCACCCTGTAGGTACCCCGTGTGTCACCCTGTAGGTACCCCGTGTGTCACCCTGTAGGCACCCCGTGTGTTACCCTGTGTATCCCCTTGTAGGCACTGTGTGTCTCCCCATGTGTCACCCCGTGTGTCACCCTATAGGACCCTGGGGATCTGGCACCCCCGCCCTCTCAGCACCCAGCCCCGACCTGCCTGTTTTGAGTTGCCCACTCTGGCTTCTCAGCTTCTCTCCCGGACTGAGGCCACACAATCTTGGATGTGCCCACCAGGCCCCGACAGGCGGGTGGGACTGAAGGGGCCGCTGCACCCGTGGTGGACGCAGTGCCCGTGGTGGACGCCTGCGGAGGGCTGGCCCGCGGCCCGCGGCCTGGCTGCAGCGCGGCTCTTGGTTCCTCGATCCCGGTACGCACGTCCGGTCCCATCAGCTCCACCCTGTGCAGGCCCCTGCCCTGGACGGACACTCCTGTGGAGCCAGGAAAGGTCCAGAAAGCACAAAAAGCAGGATGGAAAGCTGAAGCCGAGCCAGCTCACTTGCTGCTGTGACAGACACAGTGCGCACAGACAGACGGACACAAGACGGACAAGCCCTGCTTTCTCTCCTTCCATCATCGCTCAGTGGGAGGAAGTAGGGAGAAAGAAAAAGAAAAAGAAATAGAAAGTCCTGTTTCAGGTAGAGCAGCCCGCCGAGAAGGAAGGTCCTGCGTTCCCTGCCAACTGCTCAGCACGGACCTTGAGAAAGTGGCCGGGGGACCCGTCGGGGGTGCTGAGGGAGCCCCCAGCCCCTTTGGGTGTCGCACAGGCGGGCCGAGACCCACACCTTCAGCTGGTGACGTGGCGGCCTCTCCTCAGTCACAGTGGAGAGTTCCCGGGCCTGTGATGTGGCTTTTGGGGCCAGGCCAAGGCCTCCGTGTGCACTCTCCTGGGATCATCCGTGTGACCACAGTGGACTTCCCAGAAGGTCCCGGGCTGGCCGATCGATGTTCTGAGTCTCGGCACAGGGTGGCAGGGGCTTGGCCTGCACGCAGGCACAGGTGTCCTTGACTCTGGGTTCCCTGAGTGAGTGCCTGACAACGTGGGAGTCAAGGGAAAACGGGGCCTTTTGGTCTTTGCTTTTGTCCTCAGGTAGATGATGTCCCCAGGCCTAAAGCCTGTCCACAGCTGGGGGTTAAGTCCGAGGGTCTCAGACCTGCGGGGCCTTGGCAGGGTGTACAGGCCACAGGCTGACAAAGCACTTTTGTTCTGGCAGTGAGACTTTCCTCTGAATCAGCCGTCGTGTGTGATCTGTGCTGGGGTGGAGGGTGCACAACCCGTTCCCTACTACTCGCCCCTATGCAGACCCTTTCCTCCTTCCTGGGGAGGCCCTTCCTGGTTCTAGGCCAGTCTGCCTGCCTTACAGATGCAGAGACACACAGGCAGCCAGACACACAGATGCATAAACGCACAGATACATAGGTGGACAGACGCACACACACAGAGTGGACACAGATGCACAGACACACAGATGCGTAGACACATGGATGCATACACCCATGGATACACAGACACACAGGTTTACAGGTGCATAGATGCACAGACAGACAGACAGTTGGGTTTGAGGGGCCTGGCTGGCTGTCCAGGCACAGATGGCTGTCCGGCAGAGTGAGGAGGAAGGCCAGGGTGCTGTCTCCCTGCCCAGCTTCACCATGATCACTCAGCACCCCGATGCCTCTTACTGAGCTCGGCTCAGGCAGCTGAGGCGGCGGGGGCGGGCTGTCCAGGGGCTGCAGCTTCACCTTTGTCTTTCTGGACCGCCGCCGCCATGGGTGCCGAGGAGGACTCACTTTCAGCACCGGGGACAGTGCAGCAGGTGGCCACCCCTTCCCCCCGACTGCTTCTTAAAAACATTTGCTGTTAGGATGTGGTGCATTTATATTAAACATCGGGGAGTTTAGGGTTTTATTTTCTTTAAGAATCACTTCAAAGCCGGGTTGCCCTCAGTTCGGTGTTGACTGTGTCATGAAGCATCCCATCCAGGCAGCGGTCGTTGCAGGTTTCCTCTGTCCAGGCCCCGATGGGCTTGTGCACAGAGAGCCTGACTTCACCCCTCGCGGAAGCCTCACTAGATAGGCTTTATCACACTGATCGTGATGAAACAGAGACCCAGGGAGGTCAGGCTGTGCTCCAGGCCGTCCAGGGCTGTCCCCACCTCAGTGGCTGGCTTTGCCCACCTCCACGGCTGCCCTCTTTGCCTCCACTCATTCCGCTGTCCGGGCACATTGTCTCTTATTTCTGTATACTTTTGTACATCTGTGCCCATTCTCTTGAGGCCAGTTCAGCTCAGCATACACATCTCAAGCTTGTACTTGGGGGAAGGCAAATGTTTTAAGACCTAAAGGATGAAAACACCGTGTAGAAACTGCCACGTGTCCCAAAACCGTTACAAGAGAAGTGGAAGGGAGGACGGGGGTCGTGACGTGGGTTGAGTGTCCAGGGTTCAGGGTGACACTGGGGTGAATTGTACAAAGATTAAGGCCTGGGGCGGGGCCGGGGGGCATCTCAGAGGCCCTTGGACACTAAACTAAGAATTCTACTTTACCCAGTGGGCAGCCTCCCTAAATTCTACTAAAACTTATTTTTTTATCTGTGTATATTTTTTGATGTGGGCCATTTAAAAACTCTTTACTGAATTTGTTAAGATACTGCTTCTGTTGTGTATGGATTGTTTTTTTTTGGCTATGAGACATGTGTGATCTTAGCTCCCCTAGTGGGGATCGAACCTGCAACCCCTGCAATGGAAGGCGAAGTCTTAACCACTGGACCACCAGGAAAGTCCTCCTAAATTCTACTTTAGATGAGCCAGAGCAGGGTTTCCAGTCTCCGTGGGGCAGGGCTGACTTCTCCTCTGATCTCTGTCTCCTCCCCTTAGAGCAGGGATGTAGGAGTCCTCAGAGACTTATCACTTCTTCCTACACGCAGACTACACAGACTTCTAGGCTACACACCTCTTCCTCCCCACCCTATCCCTGTAAAAGGTGCTATCGCATTCGAGTCATAGCCTGGGGCCAGGTTGGCCATCTTATACAGCACAGGTACCCCAGGCTGGAACCCGGGGGACGCTCAAAGTCCACATCCCTGTAATACTTCCACATCTTAGGACACCCTGAGATATTCCCAACATGCTCTCCTCGTGAGAGGGCTGGGGTTGCCAGGAGTCGGAAAAGGGGAGAGGAAGAGTTGAGAGCTGCTAAGCACAGAATCTCTGCACAGTCTGATGGTTCATTATGAGGCCTGGGTCCCTTTGAATGCTCACATGCTGGCAGGAGAACTGCAGCCACAACAGCCTATGGAGCTTCAAGCCCGAGGGTCCCCCAAGACTTGTGTGGCACCAAATAGGACTTTGATTTCACCTTCCTGCAGGTGCCGAGACACAGTTTTCTGCTCTCAATCACTTCCTCTCAGCTTCCCATGGCACCCCCGTCCCCGGACCTCACGTTCAGTGATTCTAAGGATTAGTTTCTCTTTGGAAATGTACAGACTGCCTCTCCTATTTGAGAGGATGCTTTATGACAGTGAAGGCCTTTGGAAAACTACGTGGAAACATGGGAGGAGGGAAAGTTAACTGTGTTGTTTTGGTTTCTTGCTCATTGAAACCTTTTAATTTAATTTAATTTTTTTTTTCTGTTTCTCCCTTGGGATGGGCTTGGGAAGATGTTCAGCGTAGATGGTGACGTTTGTGCCTTTGGAATGGAGTCTTTATAGCAGAGCCAAAGCCTCTGAGGTCTCCAGATAAATGCTGGCCTGTGTTCTTATTTTTTTGAAGCTTAGTCTAGTGACAGTCTGCTCCGATGCTCGGAAGACGGAGTGGGAAGAGGGAGCCTTTGCTTCTGTGTTGTTAGCAGGTCGGGTGGGGACGAGTCCAGCCAGATCCCTGCATTCTGTGGTGACCGCCCGTAGAGGGGAGCGGCCAGGCGCGCGTGATGGAGAGTGGTGGCCAAACTGTAACCAGGCATTTAACCCAGTCTTGAATATGAAGACAAAGCGTTCATAGCTCAGACTTGGCGCATGCAGGGAGAGAACTCCTGAAGTCAGAGGAGCCACAGGCTTGCTCTCTGCTTGGTGTTTTTCATCTCACCTGCCTTCCGCCTCCTCGCCTGTAAGAGGCAGAGGGGTTGGCAGTCGTGCCTGCCGATCACCCACTGTGTGTCTATGTGTACTTGCCCCCCCTGGCCTGGACGGACGAGGAGCTGCAGGCAGGGTGTCGGGATCTCTGCTGTGTTCCCATTCACAAGTGGTTTGTTTACTTCCTTCAGCGTGAAGAGAAGGACAGAGGAAAGTACTGTCTGCCTTTGCTTTTGAACTTGGCAGTAATGGGATTGTGTGAAGCCATTGGTTGGTATAATGCCACTTTGGGGTGTGTGTGTGTGTGCGTGTGTGCGCATGTGTGTGGTGGGGAGGAGGGCTTTTGGAGAGAGCTTTAAAACAGCCTGCCTAGATGTTTGGAATAAACTTGGCCCCCTTCATTTTTTCCTTTGTTTGTAGATGTATCACTTGTCTTCTTTATGCCTTTTCTTGTATTTTCTCTTTAAAATGTCCAGCCATTCTTTTGTAATTGGAAAAAGAAGTAATAAATGCATTTCTCTCTTTATGTCTGATGTTAAAACAGTCCGTGGGTTTCTTACTGCCTCTTATTGCATTACAGAGAGGTTGGTTGCTTCATAGGTATTTGATATATATTTAGATTACGTTTTATTTCTCTCATTGTAGTCAGATGTTCAAATGATAATGGGCAGCACAGATCAGACCAGGAAAAAAAATCAAAGTATTTCTAAGGGGTGGGGGTATTTTGTTTTTGCGGTTGAATTCCTGCAAAAGTACACTGTGTGTCTCAGGATGCTATCTGTTCATTTAAGCGCTGACTTACGCGCTGTTGAGCACTTACTACACTGCGGTAAGCATCGACTCCACGGGCGGCTCTGTGAGTAGAGCTTCTGGGGATCCGAAGATGTTTGGCAGAGATCCAGCCTTCACGGAGACGTCAGCATGTCTGGAGAGATGAGGTGTGTGTGATAAGAAGCTGGTTAATACTTTGTTTCAAAAGACACACATCACTAAGAAATGGGAGTTCCGACGAGGGTGGTCTTCCAGGTGAGGAGGCTCCTTCTCACGACCTAGTGAGGTCGGGCTTTCCTTTCCAGCCCCTAGTTTGTGACCTCCCATCACTCCCTGGTCCCTCTGCCGCGCACTTCTTTCCTGTCACTTAGCAGCATCCCACCAGTCTCTCAGAGCCACACAAACAGCTCCTCTGCTGTGAAGCATGATTGATGATGAGTTCACCAGGAAATCTGGGTCTCTTCCGGGAACTGCGAGCAGTGGACGGCATTATCTCTGGCGTCTGGTTGGCATTTGGAAATCTGCCATCCGTCATCAAAGACACGTAAGATTTTGTGAGAACTCTTTAACCCACTAGCAGTCGGTTTCCTCATCTGTAAGGTTAGGATAAAAATATCCCATTGGACTGCAGTCGTGGCTAAATCCATGTAAACAGATAAAACTCTGAACACTTACTGGGCAGCCGTAAAACCTCATGTCTTTTTCTTTCTGTTCTGTGTAGTTATTTGTGCCTATGTCTGCATTGATCCCCTGCATTGCAAACCTCTGGAGGCTGAACCCCCCAGTGCCTGACACAGACCCTTTCACACAGCCTGGATGGCCCTCTGCCCTCATCGTGGTCTGTGCCATCGTGAGGCCAGTGCTGGATCTTTGGGGTCTTTGGTTGGTCTTGGCCTTGGGAGACCCCATGATCATAATGGTGATTTTGATAGATGGGTGGATAAGGAGGCCATCTCCAACACAGAGTCGCAGAGGACAGGGGAACATGTACATGTGGTCTGGAATCAGGCAGCAAGTCTGAGAGCAGCAGGTTGATTGGGGAGATCCAGGACCATAAAGAAGGTTGAACTGATGAATTGATGGTTTTGTGTTGTGGTGTTGGAGAAGAGTCTCAAGAGTCCCTTAGACTGCAAAGTGATCAAACCAGTCAGTCCTAAAGGAAATCAGTCCTGAATATTCATTGGAAGGACTGATGCTGAAGCTGAAGCTCCAGTCCTTTGGCCACTTGATGCAATGAGCTGACTCATTGGAAAAGACCCTGATGCTAGGAAAGATTGGAGGCAGGAGGAGAAGGGGACAACAGAGGATGAGGTGGTTGGATGGCATCACCGACTCGATGGACATGAGTTTGAGCAAATTCCAGGAGATAGTGAAGGACAGATGAGCCTGGTGTGCTGCAGCCCGTGGGGTCCGTGGGGACACGACTGAGTGACTGAACAGCAAAGAACAACAGCGACAAAACTCTCTATGTCTGAGGTCTGCAAGGACATTTCTCCTGAGCTGTCCCTCCCACAGAGCGTCCTTGGGGCCCGGAGAGGCCTGGTCAAAGGGCACTGTGGTTCTCCCATGACACAGACTCTAAATATCTGACAAGGCGAGCCCGATTAATTGCATGAGTGTATTTTTCTCCCTCACTGGCCAAGCAAGGGGTCTTTGGGTCAAAATATGTCCGTGCATTTTACAGAAGAAAGAATTTCTCCAGAGTTAGCATGCAGTACATTCTGATCAGATGCATCGCCCCGTTGGTTTTGTCCTGTTCCTGGAGGCGTTGACTGAGCTCAGCCCGCTCCACACCCCACCTTCCTCCTCCCATGTTACACGGCTCCTCAACACGTTGTTCTCCTAAGTTAAGCCTTTTGTTTTGCGTCCTTTCCTTCTCAGAATCTGTAGAGTTGGACATCATGTGATGTCCACTTAGGTGTCAACTGCCTGAACCCCATGTCAGAAGAGAAAATGACAGAATGAAAGACCATTAGAAGAGGACCAGATAAACCACCTGGTTTCAACAACTCCCTCTCCTCTTCCTTCCTTTTCTCCCCCCCCTTCTCTTCTTTCTTCCATTTTCCTTTCTTTTCCCCCTCCTTCCCTCCCGCCCTTCCTTCCTTCCCTTCTTTTGATGGGTGAAAGTCTTCCAACTGGTTCTTGACACATCTAGGGTGAGACTCAGGGGTTTTGGCTCATGCCCTCATACCACAATAAATTCTAGTCCCTGGGTGAGGAAGTGGGGTCACTGAGGTGCATTTGATCCAGGCCCTGGTCCTCACCTGGAGAAGAGCATAGGGTACACAGTTCACATCCAGTAAGGGAGCTTGTCCCTGGAGCAGGATCTCTCGGGTAACTGTGCTAACACGTGATTGGTCTAGTCTAGA